CTCAGCCACACATGTTCTTATGAAAAAGCCAGCCAATCTGCAAACATCAACTCCATCAACCAATCAAGAAATGACAACACAGCCAACTTCCCCACCAGTATTTATAGAGAGATGGCAGCTCAGATCATGCTTTGCTCGCACAAGCACAAAGCCGAAAGCACCAGCCTGAAGATGGCGAGTGGGACCTCATTGATACGTCGCCAAGATACTCTCAATCTTACATGGGAAAAGACCCGAACATGCCAAGACCTGTATACCTGTACCCGTGAAAATCTACGAATATATATATGTGTGTGTGTGTGTGTGTGTATGGTATTCAGCTTTGTTCCGGTATTTTCCCACATCATTATAGTTATGCTTTTAAAGTTGTAGCAACGTTTTGGCAGAATCTCATCTGCCATCATCAGGCTTCTGTATTGTGTTTGTGAGTCAGACTTTTACAGCTGTTTCAGTTTTAAATTTGGGGCTAGCCTATTGCTGTGCCAGAATGTTTTTTTCTTCATCCTGATTGGTTGGGAGTCTTGGTCTGTGTTTATTGGTCTTGGAGTTTGCTGTGTTCTGCTTGATTGATGTTTCTAATATCTTCTGTCTGTTTTGTGGCTTTTTTTGTCTTGATTGGCACACAATACAGTAGCCTGATGATGGCAGATGAGATTCTGCCAAAACGTTGCTACAATTTTAAAAGCACAACTATAATGACGTGGGAAAATACCCAAACAAAGCTGAATACCATACATGTAAGTACCCACGAAAACTTAAGAAAACAAATATCAGACCTCTATGGGGAGGAAATAAACAGCCAGACCAAAACCTAGGAGAAGCTGGAAGTTAAAAGAGCAGGAATACTATGTGACCTCAAATTCCTACGCAGCTGCAGAGACAGCAATGCAACACCAACCTGCTTCAAATTAACATTTCATCACAGAACAGCAGCTACTAAACGTATCCTGAAAAGAGCTGAAATGGCTCTACTGAGGAACGAGCTCCACAGAAAGAGATTCCAATTGAATCAGTTAAACAAAGATTTGCTAGCACTACACCTGGAATTGAGCAGCAAAATCCACCCTCTACTTTGGGACAAGATAAAACAACTTACAACTTGGAGAGCTGAAGCTGAAACCACTTACAAAAATGACAAACTCTTGAAGAAACTAAAGAAACTAGAACATGACAAGAAAGCCCCCAACAACTCACAACAACACCTGAAACAATTAGTATATAATGTTTCCAACAGAGAACTCACCAAAACAGAAACAGATATCCTAACCAAAGGATTCAATTATGCTATAGCACCCCAAAAAATCCCTATAGAATCCATCATATGTGCAGTAGAATCCAGCCTAACTAAATTATTAAATACAGATGAAGCTGATAGAATAAGACACCAAGTTACTAACATCCTATGCACAAGCAAACCACCCAAAAGCAACTTGCACAAAGAGGAACTAAGCCCTGCAAGCCCTAAAAAACGACATCAGCATAATCATACTTCCAGCAGATAAAGGGAATGCCACAGTAGTAATGGATAGAAAAGACTACGAAACAAAATTGACAGACCTACTCCAAGACTCCACATACAAACCCATAAACACAGACCCAACCACATATCTGGAAAAAATAACCAAGAAGAAAATTATAACCAGCCACATGAGCAAAGAGATCCAACAAATGATCATCCCAAGAGAAAAATCTTCCAGATGCCCCAAACTATACGGCCTCCCAAAAATATACAAAGAAGGCATACCTCTCAGACCCGTAGTCAGCTCCAGAGGAGCACCACTACAAAACCTAAACACTTAGCAAAGCAGCTACAGCCCCATGCTGTACTTCCACGGGAGGAAACCCGAATAACCAAAGATGTGTGTGTGTGTGTGTGTAATAATTAATTGGAATTCAAAAGAAAAAGGAGCGAATAATAAGAGGGTTCCCTGCCCGATTGGAGCAGGCCCCTGGACGAGCCAACGGTCCAAAACATATCTCTATCTACACACACACACACACACACACACACACACACACACACACATACACGCCTTGTAGGCATACTGCAATCTCAAGGATCATAATGGCAAGCAAAAATAATACTAAAGTGCTATCTTCCAAGGCTACCTCTGGAGCCCAAAACAAGTGAAAACATTCTAAGGGGCCTTCTAAGGCTGCAGAAAAGGATGCCAATAGATGCCAAAAGGTGTTAGAAAAACATGAAAAAATGTGTGAGGGAGGCTGAAAAAAATTCCCAGCTCTCTTCTCCAGCTAGGCCGACTCCAGTTCCAGACACCCTGCCACCACCCCGGATCTTTCCATGCCATCCAGGAGGGCCATAGCTGGACTGGTCCAACCAAGGCCTTCATCAGTGGTACTTGACAGGCGGGCCCCAGAGGCAACTTTTGCCCCTACAGCAGTGGAACTATGCCAAGATGACTTCCTTCCGGAGGATGTTTCTGAAAAAATGAAGGCCCGGATGGAGATGGTGATTAGATGGGGCATCGCCACGTGGGTATAACAGACCATGATGGCCAAGCAGCCTCCACCTTCTGACTGCGATTCATAATCCAGTCGCTATGCAGAATGGATCTTCATTATCATCAGGTACCACCCCAAGGGGAGTGTTATATGATACCACATACACATTCACACAATTTACAGGACGAGAGAACAGGAAGACCAGATGGAACAGGTTGGGGAAGGGTCAATACATGACAGTGACCTGGTCCTGTCAGAGGCAGATCCTTTAGAAAGAGGCATGTCAGACAAAGGCATCAAGCCTGACCAACCGATCTTTATGGGTCTGTTCCATCCTCAACTATTCAAATCTCTATTATTCAAGGCAAAAACTACTGCTCACCTTGATAATCCCTCCCTCTTTGTCCAACAATCAGTAGTACAAGGGGATTCAGAACATTTGATTTTCTCCCAACCAATAACTGAAGCGGATGTTTTATCTGTCCAGCAGATGTTCTCAGACCTCATCCAGAAACAATGGGCTTCTGCAGCCCCCACAGGATATGACAGAAAATTTTTCAATTTAGCTCCAGAATTTTCAAACTCTCTTAATACCCCAGAAGTAGATGACCCAGTGGTGGCCTTAGTGCCCTCTGAGATTCCTACTGAAGCAGAGGAGGCACTCAAGCCAGAAGAAAAAAGGGCTGAGTTAACTCTGCGCAAGGTGCATCAGTCAGATTAGTGGGCCATAAGAGCGGCTATGACCGCATCTTTTTTCACTAGATCTTCTCTCAGATGGCTCCATCATCTGAGGGAAACTCCGAAATTCTAACATCAGGGCACATCAAGACATCACCAACTCAGCGGCTGCAGAATTCTCTGCAGAAGCAACATTCAATGCAGTAAAATTCTTAGCTGGAGCCATGGCATCGCAGATTACAGCTCACCAATTGCTAATAATGGTATACTGTTGGATATTACCTTTTGATTATTTTGCAAAATTATTGTGTTCTTAAATGATTTCCCTTCAGTACATTAGAAATTTCTGGAAAAATAAAAATAAAAATAAATGGTGCCAATAACATTTTAAATGTTCAAAATGTGTGGTGACTTCATCAAACTCTTTATTAAATTATCCAAACAGATGGTTAAAAACATTGTGGTAATAATCATGTGGTGACTATGAAATAGTGAGGAAAATTTTGTTTTGGGGGGATGTTGAATATTATTTTTTAATTTTGTGTCTATTTGAGACAGAATAGAACATTTTTCATAAAAATTTTCCTATAACAATGACTGCTATTTACTACAGTGAGAGGTTAGAATGCTGCTTCTTAATCTATTATTTTGCTGAAGTTCCATTTCTTAGACTGAAATATGTTTTCTTTTTGCTATTTACAATGGAATTTTAGAAAAATTCTATAGTCAAATCTAACCATCTTTAAAATTATACAGCTTTTACATAAGGGTTAACAGTCATCTTTAGTACATTTGAAGAAGTCTAATAGGATCTTTTCATATTGCTGCTTTAAAAAGAGAAGAATTTCAGAAGTTAGAAGTTATCCAAAACCCATGAAAGAAGGTTTAATTCTCTCTTTCTTCACAGCAGACGTACTTTTCCAAAGTGACATTATTTCAGCATCTGATCTGTGGCGATAATTATCTGCACTACCTATAATTTTAAAAGAAAAAATGTTTTTGCTCCTGAATGTAGAAAACACAAAATTCAAATTTACAATATTTGGTAGCAATGTGTAAAATTTCTATTATCTACCTGCTAATTAATATATAAGCAGACTTCAAATTCTCCAGATACATATTTCCCTTAAAATGTATTTTCCCCTATGCTCTTCAGTATTGGCTTTGGTTATTTGTTTCTTCTGCTAGATTATGTTAATAGGTTGTAAGTTTTAAATTTTAATTCAGCTACATGTAATAATGCTTAGCTGGTCTAGTGGTTTTGTACATCTTGTCTACTATACTTGAAAATACATGTCACTTTTTCAATTTCAAAATATGTCAATTACTGATGTAAAACATGTCAGTATAGTAAATACAGAAAAAGATTTTATTTAAAAATCCAATGCACATCATGCCTTATTGCAAACAATATTTTTCTTCAGCTGCATTTTGTGTACTCCTGAAAGGGTCTGTTGATCATAGATAATTCTATTCTACTGTCCTGACAGAATATATGTTTGCATATGAAATGTGCTAACAGGTTATGAATTTACTTACCTGATTTGAAACATGGTAATGTAAATGCTTCTTTGTATGTAGTTTGTGTATACCAGTCAAGGACCTTCATCTTTGCACTTTGATAATGAATATACTGGTGCAGAATTAAATAATCAAACTCATGTGGATATATTATTTCTTCTTTTGGGGGACCTGATGGTAACTTTGTAAAAGGTCTAAATGAAAAGCATAAATAGTTCAGTGTTTGTCAAAATAGTCTAATTTGCTAAAATGTAGACTACCTAAAAGAATAGCTCTATGTTCAAACTTTTGTCTAAGGATAATGAAGACTATGCTGCCGGTGCAGTAAATAGTGCTATGGCTTACAAATGAATGCAGATAATTCCCACCTATGACCATATTTGGAACCAATATTTCGGTTTCCAAGTAAGATCATTATTAAGTAAATCACTGCTAATTTTATGACGTTTTGGTATGATTGATAAGGAAATCATTGCATTTGTTAAGTGAATTGTGTGGTTGTTAATGAAATCCGGCTTTTCCCATTGACCTTGCTTGTCAGACACTGGTTGGGAAGGTCTCAAATGGCGGTCACATGACACCCAGATGCTGCAACCATCATAAATACTTGCTAATTACCAAATGCCCAAATATTAATCACATGGCTGTGGGGATGCTGCAACAATCATAAATGAGATAATAGCTTCTAAGTCATTTTTTGCAGTGCCATTGTTACTTTGAACAGTCATTGGACAAATAGTTGTAAGCCAAAACTCCTTGTTAGGAATGTAGGACAGATAGAGGTGGAGGGGTTTCCCTACTTTCACAATCATTTTCTGAATTAGAACTGAAAAGGAAATTTGTATAATGTTTTAGGTATGTCCTTAAAATTGATAATGAAGAATAGCGGTATTTCTTTTACCTTAACTGTCCTTCAGGAGGATATGCAATGTAAATTCGTGCCAGCTGTCCAGGAAAGTAACCAATAACATCCTTTCCCTGATGAAAAATAGTTCTGATAAAATGAAGGGAAGAATGAGCATTTCTATTTGAAGTAGATTTTTCTAATTTGCATTATCTACTAAACTGATGGTTAAAATCCAGCTATTAAAAAAAAATTATCCTAAAAATGACAAAAGCTGCACTATTTTTTTCTATAACTAACACAGAATGAAAATGCCTAAAGAAGCCATTATGGAACTGGTGAGGTTGCTGTATAGAGAAGTTATAGTTAATTTGTGATAGATTCTTCAGTTATCCAATTTGTACTAGTTGCTTGTAACGCAGTGGTGGGATTCAAATTTTTTACTACCGGTTCTGTGGGTTTGGCTTAGTGGACATGCCTGGGTGGGCATGGCTATGTGACTGGGTGGGCGTGGGGTATTTCCCCCCCCCCCATTTTTTGGATCTTCTGGGCCTCAGGCAATCCACCTGGGGGGGGCTTTTTGCTCACAGGAAGCTTCTCTGAGGCTCAGGAAGGAAAAAACGGAGCCTGGAGGGGGCGCGCAGCACCCCCCCCCATGCTTCATTTTGGGACCTGTGCCTCAGGGAAGCCTCCTGGGCAGAGCAGTAAGTAAGCAAAGGGAATCCTGGCACAGCTGATCATAGGAACAGCTGATTATCGGGACGGGAAAAAAAGAAACACCTTAAGGAGTGACTGTGTGGAGCAAGCATCAGGTGGGTGTGGTGAGTGAGCATCGGGCAGGTGGGGCAAGCAAACGACTGGTGACCGTGTTGGGGGCATGGCCAGCCAGAAGTTCGGCAACCCACACCAAATTCTTGCTACTGGTTCGCCTGAACCGGTGCAAACCGGCTGAATACCACCACTGTTCTACCATAAGAAAAGAGAAAATAAGAAATAAGAAAAGAGCTACTTTCTCCTTAGCCAAAGCGATTTGGGTAGAAACAGATTTTTGATTGGCTTGATTTGCAAATTTTAAAAAATGCTCCAAAGTCCATAGACCTTCATACTCAGTTGAAAGGCAGGATTTTAAAAAGTCAATCTAGATAAATAAATTTGTTCTGCTTACCTGTTTATCAAATTAATAAGTTAAATGAAAATTGTATTAATCAACAACATTTTAAAACACTTAATACTGATAATTGTGATAGATACTGTAATCTGTGCTTCCTTTGTAGAACATGTAGACAAAATGGTTTTTATAACAAATCAAACTGCAACTATAATTAATATTATTTAATCATTATTAACCAAAACGGGATTATACCAGTAGTCCTCGACTTATGACCACAATTGAGTCCAAAATTTCTGTTGCCAAGTGGGACATTTGTTAAATGAGTTTTACCCATTCACTACTTTTCTGGCCTCAGTTGTTAAGTGAATCACTTCAGTTGTCAAGTTAGTAATGGGTTGTAGCTTGAAATGCTTGTAACCATATTTAGCTGATTTACCTAACAATACATTCTGAATGAGCCATGGTGGGGCAGTGGTTAGAATGTGGTATTTGCAGGCTAACTCTGCCCATTGCTAGGAGTTCAATGCTAACTGGTTCAAGGTTGGCTCTGCTTTCCATCCTGCCGAGATCGGTAAAATGAGGACCCAGATTGTTAGGGGCAATATGCTGACTCTGTACACTGCTTAGTATTTATTGTAAAGCACTATGAAGCAATACTTGTCGTAAGTGCTGTTGTTATTGCTAGAATAGATTCTTCTTTTCTGTCAGCAAGAGAATTCCTGGCCCGGTAACAATCCTGCTGAAAAGGGATAGGGAGGAAATTCCTGACTTGAAACACCAAGTGCTTCAACAACCCATCATCCTTTCAAATTTCCTGCACATAGGAAGTCACAAGAGAGTCTTCTCCTTGGAACTGTACAGGGCAATTCTGTATAGGAGAATGCAAGTTCACAACGGATGATAAGTTAAGCACAAGTTTTAACACATACTGTGGGTAGCCCTAATTTACGCCCACAATTGAGCCCCAAATTTATGTTGCTAAGTGAAACATTTGTTCAGTAAATTTTGCCCCACTTAGCAACCTTTCTTGCCACAGGGAGTTAAGTGCCATTGTTAAGTTAGTAATGTGGTTTTTAAATGAACTGGGCATCTCCATTGACTTTGCTTGTCAGAAGATTGCAAAAGGTGATCACATGACCCTGGGACAGTGCAACTGTTATAAATACAAGTCAGTTGCCAAGTGTCTGAATTTTGATCACATGACCAGGGGGATACTGCCACATTTATAAGTGTGAAAAACAGCTGTTAGTCACTTTTTAAAACTGCTCTTGTAACTTTGAACGGTCACTAAATGAACTGATGTAAGTTGAGGACTATCTGTATAAAGTTTATATAGGCTTCCATTCCAAATCCTGTTTTTGACCAATAAAAATATTAAACATTTTTCTTTCTACTCAGGAAAAGAAAAGAGCAAAGTAAGCTGGTGAATAGGAAAGCTGGAGAAGAGTGAACAATTTTTACCTTCTGGTCAAGTCTCCCTCTGGCGGGCTTTTAGAATTTCAAATGTGCCCGCCAGTCTAAAACAATGATTTTGACTGATTATTAGGCCATTCTGATGCATGTCACAATACAAATATGATAATGTTTGTAAAATATTTTCAGCACATTAAAAATATTCTGAAGTAGATTTTTAACCCTGCTGTATCCATTTCTTTCTGTGATGCATAAAAAAGTTAGTTATTTGAGATTTGCTTCATTGTAATTAGTTTAATGTTATGTTTAGTATGGTGACTTAACCTCAAAATAATCATTTTGAGATCTTGGATCAACCTTGAGGGATTGTTTATTTTTTTATACTTTACCCTGGAATGGTCTCTGGTGCTGGATCTATAAACTGTCGTAACTTTATTGCTGCAACTTGTCCTGCCATGAGAATTCCTGGAGAAAAAAAAATACACTGTAATACCTACTGCTACTAATTCAATATTTACTCAATATATAAAGTCACAGTCTCACAATACTTATTATGTATACTCGTGTAGAAGCCCACTTACAGATAAGCCAACCAACCCTCATACTTTTACTCAAAATACTATGAAAAAACACCACTCACGGATAAGCCAACCTACAATTTTCATTGTATTTTGGTTAAAAATTCTAGCAAAGGCTTATAAACAAATGCCACATGCAAAAAGATAGAAATTGAAATTGCATGGCAATCTGTTACTATGCTTTCCCTCTAGAATAGCTAATCTCATTGGGGAATAATATTTCAGCAAAATCAACATAGTTAAAGCTTATTAACAGATGGAAGCAGAGGAAAATTCCAAGGTGTTTCTTAGTATAAATATCCACAACAAATTATAACTTCTTTTTTGGAGTAGTACCAATGAAGGAGAATATTGTGGTTGAAATGAAGTATCTCTGAGCTTGGTTGTTTTCTTGCAGATGGTTCATTACCTAAACTAGATAACGTCACGAATGCTAGATGATGTTAACTAGTTTAGATAATGAAATGTTTTCAAGAAAAAAAACAAGCTCAGAGAACACCAGGGACCCCTCATTTTGGAGTACTATCTCCACAAGTATTAGGTGCTGTGTCCTAGTGTTATATGTTTTACATTATTGGCATTGGAGAATATGATGAAGTATATTTTGGAAACTTCAAGAGAGCACTGCAGCAATTGGATGACTTGGCATTTGAATACAATGCAACAAATCTGAGTTCTTTAAACATAATATTACATATTATGGTCACACCACTTATGCACAAGGCCTAACCAAGTCCACAAGAACTGTCACAGCTATGATATTTTTAGACTGGTTAATTGTTATAGATTCCTGACAAATTTGACCACCCGCTATAACTTCTGAACACTTTACTACAAATGGGGAGGGGTATGGCAGTGGGAATAAAACCCGGCAAATAAGCTTCCATAGAAGCAATTTATAATACTAGGCATTGTGCTCAAACATTATACCCATAATGTTAAGTTCATAATGATCATCCAGCTATAAATCCATTGCACAAATGTCTGGAAAAAAACATTACACTGAATCAAAACTCTTCCATATTATAGCACAATGCATAGCACAATGAATCAAATGCCAAAAATACAATACTGAGCTGTACTGTACTGTATTTTAATTGGATTTTCTCAGACCTAATTTGTGACAAGCAACTGAAATAAGATGAGAAATCTATACTGAAACATAATTTTCCATTGGACAAACTGAATTAAAAGAAACAACAGAGAGGAGTATAAGTGGACAACAAGAAGCTTAAAATAACAGCAGCAGCAATAGGACCTCTTTATTACATTGGAGATTGTTCCTGATAACACTTAGAAGAACACACTGAAGAAAATAGAGATACTGAAAGAAGTGACTGATATAGATGGAGACTCAATTATAAGTCCTGAATTACCACCCGATGCTCTTACCCCCAAAGAACCCACATTCTTGTTTGTGGTAATAAAATAATAAAGATTATCTCATTATCATACAAAGCTAGTACAATTCCCAGATTTATAAATACAATAGCATCTGTACCTTGATGGAGGTGCTGATCAGGTCAAGTTGTGGAACATTTTTAGAATGAGAACATCTCATTGCCTTTACTCAATGGTATAATCAGTTAGAAGCCACAGTATGAACAGAGTATGATAAAACAGGCTAGTTTCAGGTTGTGAAATAAGGCTGAATACTCTCATTTATATGTTGAATATTTATTGAGGGAAGCTGGATTAAAAGATGAGCATGGTTTTAAAATTGGAGGAAGAAACATCAGTAACCTATGCTGTGCAAATGACACTGCTCTAATAGCTGAATATGCAAAGGATCTGCTAGCTCTAGTAATGGAAGTCAGGTAGCACAGTGAAAAAAATGGGACCAAGATTAAATAAAACAAAAACCTGGTTAATGACAAAAGATACAGCAAATAGTCCTAAAACTGATGATAAAAATACTTTTAGGATAAACTACTAGCAGTAAAGGAACCAGCATTCTAGAAATACATTGCAATTATTGTTTATTTTTATTTATCAAATTTTCATCGAAAGTGACTCTCGGCAGTATACAAAGATACAAACAACAAATATAAAAATATAGAACAGGGGTGTCCAACCTTTCACCTTCCCTGGGCCACATTAGAAGATGAAAATTTGGTTTGGGCCGCACATAAAATAAAATAACAGTAACGATACCTGATCATCCAAAAAAACCATAGAAAACATAGTTAACATATTAAATTTATTTGGAAATGAAGTTAGTGAGATGTTTTTATTATTATTTATTAAAAATTATTTATTTTTTATCACAGTTTTTTTATCACAGTTTTTTTTATCACGGTTTATTTTCCGGCCAAATTTTGCAGGGGAGGGGGAAAGCTTGCCCGCCTCGCGCCTACCTCTCCTCCTGCAAATGGCCCGGCTGGATGAGGCAGGACTGGAAGGCAGAAGCAGCAGCAGCGGCGGGGGCAGAAGCAGCAGTGGGGGCAGTGGCGGCGGGGGCAGAAGCGGCAGCGACGGCAGGGGCAGAAGTGGCAGCGGGGGCAGAAGCGGCAGGGGCAGAAGTGGCGGCAATGGCGGTGGTGGCAACAGCAGGAGGTGGCGCTCTGACGGCGCCTGCTTTTTCTGTTGCTGCTTGGCCTGGCGCTCGCCTCACCCTGCCTCGCGCCTGCTTCTCCTCCTCCTCCTTACTGGCTGTGGCATGAAGGTTGGGGTGGGCACTGGGCCGCATTACAAGGTGACCTGGGCCGCATGCGGCCCTTGGGCCGCAGGTTGGACAAGCCTGATATAGAAACATAGAAAACTGATGGCAGAAAAAGACCTACTGGTCTTTGCGGTTTTTATTTTTTGTATTTTATTTTTTGTTGGATGATGGACATGTGTTTATCCCAAGCATGTTTAAGCTCCGTTACTGATCAATATCCACTACCTTCACTAGAAGTTGGTTCCAAGCTTTCACTACTTTTTCTGTGAAGTAATATTTTTGAACATTACATTTGAATGTTCCCTCTTGTCAAGTTTGAGATTATGTCCCTGTGTTTCTTGAAGTTTTGCTTAATGTTAAAAATATTACCCTTTCCCTGTACATATTCAGTTCTTCCAATCTTTTCTGAAGTGTTTCATCTCTCAGACCTTGCATCATTTTTGGACTTATCAATCTTATCGATACCTTTTTTTTAAAAAGAGCTTTCCAGAACTGGACAAGTATTCAAAATGGGGTCTTATATAGAAGGATTAAGACCTCCTTTTCCTGCTGGTGAGCCATCTTATTATAAAAATAATTGAAAAGATACATTGAAAAGTAAATACTATAAAACAGATATACAAACCCTAGGCAAAGAGAGGATGTTGAATATTAATGAAAGAATTCAAATTGTGCATGGAATTATTTCCTCTGTGACACCGATAAAAATAAGTTGAAGGAAGCAATATATATTTATTTATAAGTATTTATACTTTTGAACTTTGGATGTTCACAGATTCCTGAGAATACTGTAGACAGTTAAATCACCAAGCTAAAAAAAATGGACAACTGAGTTCTCCCACATCAGACATGAAAGCTGGTGACTTGGGCCAGTCACACTCTCTCAGTGCAACCCATTTCATGGGGTTGTGCTTGTGGGGAAAATAGGAAGATGAAGGAATGCTACGTATGTTTGCCTTCTTCAGTTATTTATAAAAAATAAAAGTGAGTCCTTATTTGAGACCCAAATGACCAGCCCCAAATTATCATACTTTGTGCACATTAAGTGAAGTACTAGTTCTCTTGAAAAGACAAGAATGTTAGCAAAGGTGGAAAGAAGGAGAAGAGAACAGGGGTAGCAAGATAGATGGACTCAATTGCAACAGTTCTGGTTTTACCATTAGGAAGGTCTGAAGGACCAGGTTAAAGACTTATCATCACAGAGAAAATGTATCTGTGTGGTTATTAAGAATCAACACTAACTTGATGGCAAATAATTTTTTTGATGGGGAGTGGTGTTTTGTACTAGCCTGCTATTATTATGAAGTATGTGAACACACCTATGATCTTATCTCAGTTATCTTTGCCTATCTGTACATGTTATAATTCTTAGTCTCATTGGAGTTAGCACTGTTATAAATTTCAGTGACGCAAGCAGCAAAAATCCTTACTCCTTATTCATGTGCTTTTTATTTGATCAGTAGAAACTTCACAGCAAACAAGCATTTGGAAAACATTATAAATTATCTGTCAACATCATGGTTAAGTTATGCTTTGGTTATTCCATGACAAGAGCCCCACTGGCAACTTATAAATCTAATAGCCTATTGAGTTAGAGACTGAGCAGTAGGAAATTCTATGGTTCTGCCCTAAGTAAATAAAGTCACTCCCTTTTTTGTCTTTCAGTAAAAATCAACTTGATCTTTGCTTTAACACACTTATTGTATTAATATACCATTCAATTACCATACTTCTCTGGACACTTTACAGTAAAAATATTGCTGGAAATTACTTCCCCAAAAGCACTTGAAAATACTGAGTGCTAGTTATAATTAATTTATTAAGTTATATAGTTTGTCGTCTTAACAGTTGAATGATCATAATAAAGTTTACGTGATATTATTGAATGGAATGCAACTATTGTCTACGAAATATTTCAAGCCTTGTTAGTCAGTCTTAGAACATCTAGCAGGTTAGTATTTAAAACTGACATCTCTGATCCAACACACACAACTATTGAGACCTGCTACTTTTATCAACACTTTCATATTCATGTTTCATATACTTGACAGCTAGCACTATGTCTTTGTAACTTTCATTAACAAGCTTTCAGTTCTGCATCACACAAAATATCAACATTTCTGAACTTAGCTCCTACCTTTTTCCTGTAAACTGTAGATTTATTGATTAATCTTCATAGTCCACTTTCATATTTTATGTATTGTACATTCATATTCT